TAAATATTTTAAATATCATAATTTATTATATGTTATATTTTTAAATTTGAAATTTAAATTTTATTCTCATTTTTCATTATTCAAAAATAAACGTACAATTATGGATTCCTTTTTGAGAACCGCGAAATTAACACTGTAGCTTATGGAGGTCGGTTTCCCTGACAAACAAACCGTGGATGCCATAAGGTACTCGGCGAGGCAGCTTCACGGCGGCCACAATATCAAGCTCCGGTGACTTTGCATCCATCACCAAGAACGTCGACTCTCTCGTGTTTTCATCATGAACATAGGAAACCACATATCCATCATCCTCCTCCGCGTCTGGGTTCCCCGGCTCCCTTGCCACAAAGAAGGGTTCTCCGCCGTAGCACCCTGGCGCGTACATCCTGACACCCTCCGTGCATTCCTGGCTCTCGCCTTTGGACACATCCAACTTCACCACACCTGAAAATTTTGGCATTGGATCACCTATTGCTGCGTATACGTACCTGTTCTGTTTTGCTGTGTACGCAGGATTTATCACTGCTAGGTCCAGATTTTTTACTGAAATGGGACGTCGTTTTACTACCCCTGTTTTCAGATCAATTGTTACCTTCTCCACCAAGCAATGGACGAGGTCCATCCTCTCCAGGGTGTGCTCAATAGGCAGCATATTTGGTGCTATCATGACTATGGTGTTTCCATCCTCCTCCTCCCACGCATTGATGATATGTATCGGGTTGAATCCCGGCGTATCAAACCATCTCAGTTTCGATTCTTCTTTTGCATATCGAGGAATGATTCCGACTTTAGGCACTTTGATTGGATCTGCACCAACTGGAGAACCCCCTCCGAAGATCATTTTCATGGGGTTTATCCCAAGCTGGATGTCAGGGAAAATGGCATGATTCTTGGTGATGGCAAAGTCGTGGGGGAAACATGGACCACTGGTGGAGAAAATCGGCACATCAGGCTGCTTATTGCCATTTGCATCAAAGTAAAAGTACGTTAGAAATGGAGGTATTGGACCATAACGGAAAGCAAAGGCCTCACTGGTTTCAGGGTCAATCTTGGGGTGAGCAGTCATGTTCCTCAAGAGCTTTCCATTGAAATCATGGCGACCCAATGTCTCAATGTCTCCATTTGATGTCAAGCGCACAGAATAAGGCAGATCGGACTCAGCAAGTGCATAGAGACGGTTGCCAAAGAAGGCCAAACTAGTATTAGCAAGACCAAAGCCGTTTTCAAGATCGAATTGACCGGCTAAGGTTCTAGCAGTATTTAGAGCAACACGAGCTGCAGAGGCGGTAAGGCCATTGTAGCCAGAGAATAACACATTATGATGGAGAGGAGTACCTGCATCACGTTCAGTGGTGTACTTATAAGTCTTGACATAGCGGCTGCAGAGAGTAGCTTGGCCTTGGGAAATTTTAATGGAGTGAAGCATACCGTCTCCATCAAAGGGATGGTAAGGTCCTCGAGGGAAGTACTGTGGGTTGGGGCCATTTCTAATGTATGCACCGTCCAAGCAAGGTGGAAGGGATCCCTCCACCACCTCACATTCAGTTGGAGGAAGCTCATCAACGGGAGCAAAGTTACCGGAGAGAACGTATCTGGGATCAACAGAAGGGTGGACGGGGGGATCTATGAAGTTGTTGATGATGTTGTCAAATACGCTAAAGACCGCAGCAGGAACAGTGGGTTCTCCCCTTCTCTTAGCTCCACTTGATGGTCCAGCAACGTTAGGCAGAGATGAGGACTCTGGGGCCTGGGGAGATTGATTTAGTATTTTGGCGGTTGCACTTGCACCAGCCGTTTTTCTGTATGTTTGAGGTTTTCCATTGGTTCTAACAGAAGAAATTTTTAGGAAGGGAACAAAGGATTGTGCTGGACGGACAGGGGAGTGTGGTGCCGGTAATAGTAAGGAAGAGAGAAAGGAGGTCATGTTGCTTCCTTTTCTAAAGTAACAACGGAATTTGGCCGAGAGAGTAAATGAATGCAAAAGAGAGCCAGAAATGGGGACATATATTGTACACGCAATAGTAGAACTAGAATACAAACAAAAGATGGTTAGAAATGGGAATATTTACACGCACTGGTAGAATGCAAACAAAAGATAGTGAGAAATGGGGATGTTTTGCACGCAATATTAAACTAGCCCATGTAAGTTTCTTTAACTAATCAATAACAAAATGTTCAAATATCTTGCACCTGAAAATGGCACTAACATGCACACTGATGCTGAGCAATCTCCTGTCTCGTAACATCGGATAGGTACGAGGGGCTAGGCCAGACAAGTTTTTAGTCAATCACTACAAAATTGCAAATATCTTGCACCTTATAAGCCTAGTTTGATTGCTGGGATGAAAGGAAGAAGAAGTTGGCAACAGAAGGTGAACAAATCCGTTATATTAACAAATGAACAGCTTCTGCGGATATTTCTTCATTTTGTTACCACTTTGTGAGATAGAAAAGGCTTCAACCTTTCCTTCTGGAAGCAGCCATAGACACGCCTTGCTTTCAAAGTCTCCTTCAATCTCGTAAAGAAAGGATAATTCCACAGCAAAATGATCCTATCAATTCTGCCAATGACTCTTGTGACTACGACGGAAGGGTTCTCTTTTCTTTCTAGTGTGTTTGGATAGGAGGAAAATGAAAGAAATCAGAAAAAAAAAAATTGAGGGAAATTGTTTTTTTAATTTTTTTTAATTCGAAAATGATTTACAAAATAGTAGTAATCATTTTTAAGACCCTATGGTAGACATTGATTTGAGACATGAAACAGCCTCTTTTTTTTTCCTTTCAAATATATGAAGTAACTTTCTTCCAATTAAATTAAAACAATAATCTCCCCTCCACTCCATTTTCCTCTAGTCCTCTTGAATCAAAATCATTTGAATATACAGCATTTTTAATCTAAGGAGTCAAAAAGGCTCATATCATTTGAAATGGAAGGGAAGAGAGTTAGCCAGGCAACATTCTGAGAGGGCCTAGCTTTCATCTTTAGATACATAGGAGCTAGTTCCTTTTGAATGTAGAGAAGAAACAGAAACACTCACTAAGTCAAATACAAGTCATTGGCCGATTCTATAGTTCTAAACTGCTCGGAGACAAGAGTAGAGAATATATATATATATATATATATATATATATACAAGGTCAAGGTGCTGTTAAGTAACCAGCATGCCGAATTGCTTCCACGATAATTCGAGTCGCATTAGATGCAACTTCTCAACAAAAGGTTCCAGAATTGCCACCACTTCTTCTGGAGCAATGGCCATGCAAATGCTTAGTTCTTGCACCGCCCCTCCCAAGTCCCTGAAAATTTTTTCATGAAACAGGAATGGTGAAGCACTGCAATGGAATGCGAATAACTTTCTTGGGAAAGAGAAGTTTCAGCATTAATACCCATTAAAGTACAACATCATGCCGTAGTCTCTCCTCAGCGACCAGTTATGTGGCTGCAGAATCAACAATCTTTCTGAAGCCATGATAGCAAGCCTGCATGGAAAATTTAAGCTTGTCAGACCATAATGGACATCTTACTTGCTACAGCCAAAGTGAACCAAGTTAACTGCCTTCAAGCTATATAGCCTACCACCAGAAAAGGATATTATACAGTTCTAAAAAGGGACAAAAGGGGACAAAATGTATGGTCCAATTAACAGAATCAGAACAGCAAACTATAAGGCACTACCTTCCATCCCTTACCTTTTACATAATCCACAAGGATTTATGGTTCTTATCTGCCTTGGGTATATACATGAAATCTCATTCTCATGATGAGAACTGTTAAACAATATTAGGAAGGAATTATAATACATACAGCACTTTCACTCCTTATGCCAGTCTTTCACCCATGAGCTGTTTTAAATAACTAAAAGGCTACAACAAATGGTGCCTAAACAAATATTAGCTACAGGCATATAGCTTTTAGTTTCAGTAGAATTGGATAAATAACTTAAATTAAGAAGATATTTAAGAACTGCACCTAAGATCTTGAGGCCGCAACAAAGGAACATTTGGGTTATCCACCTTGTCAGTTGTGTGAACTTGCCTAAGAGGAGAAGTAAGCAGCAACCCAGGATTTGATCTTGAAGCACGTTTCCAATGAAGCCTCTGTAATATTTATAATTTCACTTCAATCCATGTGGCTCTCAGGAAGTATACATGAGGAATGAATGGTAGCTAGCAAAGTAATTAAAGATAACATATGTAACACCACGAAGAAAAAAAAAAAGGGAAAAAGAAGAAGAAGAAGAAAGAAGATAATCTGAAGACTCACAATCAAGTTGGCCAGAGCAATCCCAATAATATCACAGTTTTTTGCTATCTCAAGTCCTAAAAGTGAAGTACTAGTTAACTCTGATGCCAATGATTTTGGGTTCTCCACACAATTTCCATTGACAATAGCAAACAAGCTGTGTCCTGAAGTTACTTTGAATAGCTCCTAGAGATGGAAGAGGTGAATTTTGAATCAGTTCAATTTTAAAATTAGGTTATAATGGCAGGCAGAGGAAATGTCCAACCAGATAGATAATCATCTGAGACAACAATGATACATTACTACAAAACCAAAAATACAAATTGCATAAATAAGCTTCCAAGATCAAAGCACCTCTGGGTATGCTATCTGGGGCCATATCAGAAAATCTTCCCCAACTCGTGATCCCACAATGGTCACTCCAAGTCGTCGACAAACTTCAATGTAGATTACACTTAGCAAAACAGCTGTGCAAAGGATGCAATCATATTGTTAGGTATCCTCAAACAACCATGAAAAAATAAAAAGCATGTGTTATAGTAAAAATAATTGCAATAGCGCTAGACACATAATCTTAACAATAATGCATTGCAGCATGTAACTATATTTGAAAGAAAGAAATACCACTTCCATGTCCAGAGATTAGTACTGAGTGCAAGTATGAATGCTTGGAATCTGCAAGAACAGGTAATCTTTTGAAGCCTCTTAACTCAAAAAGAACAACATTTACTGCCTCCAAAACTTCAACCAGATGGCAGCCTATGTCTCTTGAAACAAGCTCTGCTTCAACTTCTTTGGCAATATTGTTCAACTCACTCAGCCACACATTTATGTTTTTTCCACCCAAAGACATTGGCTCAACAGAATCCCACTCTGGGGCATCATTCGGGGCACTAACAATTCCCCTTTCATGAGAGAGGTACTGAGCATCCTTCTCTTTATTTAAAGCTATAAATGCCTCATCTTCAGCTGCAATATACAGCAGGGCCTACTCCAAAGCATATTGATAAAGTAAAACTTTCAACCATTAGAAAAGCGTCCTATGGATACAAGATTCAAACATAACATTCAAAGGAAATACACACACAACATCTATACCTTAGCAAGAGAGATGTCTTTGTCCTCAGATTGGAAAAAAATCTCCTGAGTGAACTTGTCCCTTGCAGCCTTAATAGCCTGTCAATTATATTGAAGTCCCAGAAATATCAGAAACTGGTAATGAAGGATAAATAAACAGTTTGTAAGAGTTGTGAGTATCAAAGGGTCATATGGGTATATTCCATAATTGATCAACACATATGTTACAGATCAACCTCCTGGTAAATTTTGTGACGGGGAGAGTCACTGGTTAGCTGATTCGTAATGAGAGGGTAAGCGGAATCCGAAGTAGCTGAACTGCTCCTACGGCTCCTCCACCTCCTCATGGACGAATTGTAGTTGTCCTTGAGACCATAATCATACCTGACGATCGTAAAAGAACAAAAAAAGGATATTGGGGGTTGCCTACCATAAATTCCTGTTCCATCTCTATTACACAGCTAAGTAATCAAATTTCTCTACCTATTGCGTGAATTCCAACAATCAAATCATAAACACCAAAGAAGAAAACATAAAAAATTCAGAACAATCACCAGAGAATACCTGTTGAAGAAAGGATTACAGTGAGTGGTGCAGAATGCTAAAGAAGCCGTCGTAGCTGCCGTGGAGAATGATGGATGGCGGAAACGAACTGGCACAGAATGTAACGTACACAACATCTTTTCTTTCCCTACCTTTGAGATTGCTCTGGGCAACGAAAAATTAGAGAGGGAGAGAACGCAGAAAACGAAAAAAGAAAGCGAGAATCTAGGTGGATCAGGCGGAATCAGTAAAGGGATACCCGGCGGCGACGAATTCAGAATAAAAGGGTTTCAACACAGAGTCAGAGATCTCGGGGTCGGGGAAATCAGCTCCTGAACACAAGAAAGCCGAATCGAAAGCAGAATTGCAACCATAAGAAAAGGAGTAAGACGAAGAGTAACGGTGAAAGAAGAGAACGCAAGAACGCCCAAACTCCATACTAAACGAGAGCTGATCAAGATGGAATAATAACTGACACCGCTCAACTCTCCTCTGATGTACTCAAATGCCACCGGAAAAAGAAGAAGAAGAAGGCGGAGGAAGAGGGAGTTGGTGTCATCAATTTTCAAGAGAGTGGGAAGGAGTATGCGGGCGGAGGCTCCTCTCCTGCTTCTCCTGCTTCTCCTGCTCGTCTGAGCTCCGGCGGTGGTTTAAGTAGCAGAAATTTGGGTAAGGTGGTGCCGAAAGTGTGGATGAAGGAATGAATGATGGAGAAGAAAACAAAAGGATGACACTGCCAAATGGAAATTCAGT